TTATGGCAATTAAGCCAAAACATTGAGTTGCCATAACGCCAACCCTTTTTTGCTTTGGTGTTCCCATTTCAAGATGGGCCACCAGCCATCGTGGGGCATTGGGTCCCCCCCGAGGGGTGCAGTCGCATCCAGTGGTCTGCTCTGGTCTGTTTTGTCCTATCAATAACAGATCAGCTAATCTAGCTATGGCGTTGACTCGGGATACAGTTGGACTTTGCCCCTCGGACAATCAGAAGGCTGCTGGGAATTTCTATTCTATTCTGTCCAGGCTGTTAGATGATATGTTATGATAGTCTTCCCTATTGAATGTATTCTCTTTCATAACACAAACCATGTTACATTCTCCACTCTGCCAGAAGACAGAGTATATGGACATGACCTGAGGTGACCTTCTATACCAATGATGCTCACTCTGGGTGCTGCAGTACCCTGGGGTGCTGAGATATCCTTTGAAGGGTGCCCCAGGGTTCTGTGCGCTGTTAGCACCAAGAGGCATGGATACATCATCACACAATTCACAAGAGAAACCCAGATATGTCTATTCACAACCTAGTGTCCATACTGTTTGGACCTGTTGGGGGTCATTCTGAATTCTTGGCAACAGAAGAATCATTCTCCAATGTTTTTTTTTTTTTTTTTGGTCTGTAGTGAAGAATCGCATGAAAATAAAGATCTGGTATTTTTTTAAGGAGGCGTGGAGGCTAATGAGGGGAACTTGAGTCTTCCAGGATTGAGCGCCACTGGTCTACATGGAAGCATGTTTTCCTTATCTTTCCAACAGGCACCAACAAATTTCTTCTTGGAAATGCTGTGTGTTGGGCCCTTTGGTCTTCCTGAGTGGATTGGGCCCACAAGAATGTGACATCAACCTATTAGTTGCTCCTAGGGCAGCTGTTCCAAACTTGGAGAGACCCTTGGCCAAATGTCTCCACCTCTTCTTACATGGAGAGCCCTGAAGGTTGATGATCAGGATGGGTTCAAGAGGGACGACTTCTACAGAGGACAGAGCTTGGATGGAGCATGGAGGTACGTGGGAGATAGGTTTCAGGCCAGGTGTGCCAGGGGCAGGGGGATGGGCCAAGGCTCGGTTGAAGGGGGTCTCTAGGGACCAGGGTATAGTGGAGAGATGCGGCCATGTCTTGGTGAAGAGAGTTCTCAGGGAGGGAGGAATGGGGCTGTTTGGGGGATTTCAGGGATCTGGGACATAGCAGAGAGGCAGGGCTGGAGGGTCTCTGGGCATGGGGGCAGGGAAACATGTCTCAATGCTGGGAGCCTTCAGGGTTTGGGATATAGCAGAAGGATGGTGCCACATTCTGTTGGACCCCAAACCCATATACACCTCCTCCTTGCATGCTTCCCCCCAAATCTGCTCTCCCTCTTTACTCCTTTCCCTGCCTCCTTTCCCCTTGTTCTTCATGTCCCCCAGCCTGGACATATCCCTTGTTTCCCACCACTGGTACCATCCCAATTATCAGCTGGGTGGTGGGGGCAACAGTGCCTTCCCTGTCACCCACGAACTCCAACCCCATTCCCTCAAGTCCACTTCCCAGCCCCACTTCCCACTCGGGCATTTCTCCCTTGATATCAGTGGCTCAGTGCTTTCAGAGATCCCCAAGGCATTTGAGTTGGCACCGGCCCTCATCCAGGTTGGGGAACTCATCCTTACCAGGGCACCTCTACCCATCCAAGACCATCACAGATGGGAACAATTGTACACAAGGTAGCTTGGATGGATTGATGGAGTGTATGAGGACCTATGAGGATGAGTGAATGGATTAGTGGGTAGGTTGGTGGGCAGATGGATGGATGGGATGCATGAGGATGGACACGTTTTTAGGCATTAGTGGATGGGTAGATAGGGCTCATGGGGACCAATGAATGCTATGAAATGCCATGAGATTAGGTGAAGATCCATGAACTCCCACAGGGGCCCTTTGGGTCCCCAGCTGGCTTCAGAATGGGGCATAAAAACATGTCGAGAACAACTTTTGCGGCAAAAACGTCCATTTTTGTCAAAATCAATGTTTCTTTCTCTCTTGAAACATCTCAGTGATATTTTGGAAGAGGATTAAAAAGATATCCTGCTTACACCTGTTTTATTGCTGGGCTTCGTTTTGATGTTTATCTGTTATCCGAACGAGGGGGGTTCACAATTAGGTGATGGATCGTTAAAATGGAAAATGAATGTTATTTTGGCCCAGTGTCAATACAACGGAATGGATCAAAATGAATCTGACGGGGGGAAATCCCTAAAGTTGTACAATGTATGCATTCAATATAGTGTAGTGTAATGTAGTATAATACTAGAGTGAGTAGAACAAGCTTAATGTGAACAATGTTTTTGATCCATGATCAATTTAGATTTTTTTTACATTTTTACCCTTTCTGAAATGGAACAAAAATAATTCGGGGGGTAGGGGGGAGGATTCTTAGCCTCCTAGATCTTGTAGATCTGGTTCCATCTCAGAAATATAGAAACTTAAATAAAAAAGTTCATAGAAAATCAGTGACAGCGCTTTTTGTCAAAAACCTTAATTTTTTTGTCAAAAAAAAAAATCCATCCAGCTGCGTCTGCATTCATATGTATTCTTATTTTAAATAATATAGATAACTTGCTATATTCTCCCTGATGAGTTTATGTATGCACACACACACGTATGTATGTATATTCATACATTGTTAAATATGTGTATTATATATACATTATATTTAATATGTATGTGTATGTATATATAATACACATCATTTATATACATTTTGTTTATATATATTCATATTTCATGTATTGTGTGTGTGTGTGTGTGTGTGTGTGTGTGTGTGTGTACACACATGCACACATACAGACACGATTTCATTTATATGTATATATTTACCACAGGGTGTGTAAAATTCACCATCATGAATATAGCAAGTTATATAGAATACATATATAGCGTTAGAGAGTATGACAAGTTATATAGACCATATATATTCTATTTAACACTATATATATATATATATATACTGTATAGGTTATTCATTGGTGAATATATTTTCATCATATATGTTATGTTATAATTAAAATTATGTTATTCTAACACTCATTATATATGTTATATAGACTTTACACAAATTTAAGATACCAGACATGAAATCTTTCCTATATGCTATAAGGGTCAAAATAAAAATGAATGTAATCATGGAAAGGGAATGTTTTTATTGGGTTGAAATAAGATCATGTGCCTGTATCAAAATCAACACTTTTTGGCTTCAAATCTATTTTTGCTGTCATTTTTTGGGTGCTTAGGTTTTTTTCCCACCAATTTTGCTGGAAATTTCAGGTTTTGTTCCAATTCAGAATGAAAAATTCATGAAATGATAAGAGGAGCAGGACTGGGTGGAGTGGAATTGTTAGCTGGAATATCCCATTTCTGGGCCAGGAGTATGTAGTTGTGAGCGCTCTCAGAATAGGTAGAGTTGACAATATTTGATCTAAAAACTTTTGATTTTGGTCAAAACTGGGTTTTTTTGTGGGAAATGGCATTGATTTTGACAAAATCCCATTTTGGAAATGAACAACAAAGGAGGGAAAAAAAAAAAGTGTTAAAAGGAGGATATTTGGAGGTGACAGATTGGGTTGATCCCAACATGAATTCCTTTTGACTGAATTTTACGGCAATAGTTTCAAACACATCAGAAAATAATGGGCTAAGCAACTACCTCCACCCACAACTCAAAACAAGTTGGGCTTTTTGTTTTGACACTGAAAAATGTAATTTTGTGGAAAACATATTGGAATTTTCACCCCAATTTGGAACAAAACATCCTCCCTGTTGGAGGGTTTTTTGAGGGATGGAGGATCCACATTTGCAATTTTCCCTTGGTTCTGAATTTTGTTCAAGAGTTTTAATAAACTCAAAGTGGGATTGGGTGTGGTCTTGTGGAGGTTCAGATGTTGGGAGGGTGGGGTAGCGTCCATGTGGGAACCAGGAGAGGAGATCATCTCCCTCTTTCACTCCTTTATGCCTTCCTCCTTCTTTTGTTCTTGGCGTAGGCAACACCATGCTGTGCCTTGGTGATGATTAGGTTGACAGGGGATGTGGGTGGGTGGGAGAGAGGGCAGGTGTACTGGGGTGGAAACTGTATGGCCAGGGTAGTGTGGGGAACACAAGAAAGGTTGGGACATGGGTCAGGAAGGGGTGGGAAGAGGTTGATTGGGAAGGTGGGTTAATTTTTCATGAGTTACACCAAAATAGTGTCCATCTGGCCTTCCAGTGCTACCTCCTCCTTTTGCCCTTTGACCCAGCCCTTCCCCCACCAATTCCCACCTGCTTAATTCTTGCTAGACCTTACCGGGCCCGGCCCACCTCCTTGGCCCCACCTTACCCCTTACCACCCGCTCCCATCACCCCCAACTCCACCCACTCTCCTATCATCCCTCTATCTCCTACTCCACTGAGCCCTCCTAGCATCCTATCCCCACCCCATCCCACCCTTTTGCTAACTGGGCCCATCCATCTCCCTCACCTTCCCTTTTTTCCTTTTCCTGGCCTCAACTGTTCTTCCCAGCAAGAGGGAAAGAACGGATGAGTAACGGAGCCGGCAATTCCCCGCACTATGGGACAGAGAACGTGGGTGAAGACACCACAAAAAAGGGGAGGAGCACATGATGGTGGGGAGGACCAGAACTGTGGGGAGCCAAGGTATAGGTGGTCTGGCATGGAACAGGAGTCAGGTCAGTGGTGTAAGAAGCGATGTTAATGATATGGGAAGAACCAGGGATGAAAAGAGAGGAGCTAAGGGGTGGGAGAGGACAAAGGCTCAGGAGGTGGGGCTTATAAGGTCAACAAGGCAAGGGGTAGGGCCAATGGAGCAAGGGGCAGGCCTAGAGCTATAGGGTCAGAGCCAAGTTGGAAAGGTGTCAGAACTACAAAAAGGAAGGTGACTTACCTGGGAGAAGATAGGGCCTACTCCAAAGGGGTGGGTCCAATGTGTAGGGAGGAAGGGCATGGAAACAGAACACAGCCCACACCAAGGAACTCCTCGTGACCTTCATGTCTTCTGCACATTGTCATGGACTTTTTCTGTTTCCCTCCATTTATCCCACAACTCCACTGCCCCTCCCGGTCCTGTCCCCAGAGACCCACGGTTCATGTCAATCTTTATTCTTATTCTTCTTATAATTATTATCATTTTTTTTTAAATACCATTTTATTTCCTTTTTTTGGAACTTTTTTTTCTTTTTCCCCCCCTCTTTTTTGTTTTACTTTCTCTTTCTTTAAATACACAACAAACAAAAGTCTGTCAGTCCTGGGGGTGAGGGTTTTTTTCAAAGGATGTGGGGGCTTTTGGAAGGTGGGGCTGAAACCTGGGTGGGGGGGAGGGAAATCCCAAGTTTTATTGAGTTCTCCAGCCCAGTTCATAGTTCGTTTGGTTATTTCTGAATTTCCTCCCCTTCCCGGCAGTGTCAAGGGTGGGGAGAGGGGTCAGATCCACTTTCCATCATATAAATTAATCCTTTTTTCCTGTCTTTGGGGAAGGGGGGGGGAACATTAGGAGACATCATCAGCGATGATGAGAGGATCCCCAAAAATAACATCGTTAAAAACCAACGAGAAAAGGGAAATAAAAATGTCAATGGGAGCGGGTAGGAAAAGAATCCCCCTTTTTTGACATTTGTTTCCACAGTCCTTCAAGTTTTTGTTGTTTTTTGTTTTTTGTTTTTAACTTTTTCTAGTTCTTTCAGTTCATGGTTAGTTTATTTTGTGGGGCTTTTTAGTTGTTTTTTTGTTGTTTTTTTTTTTCTGTTGGTGTTTCTGTTGGTTTTTCGGGGAAGCTGGGGGGGGGTCTGTTGGGTTTCCTGTTGAGTTTTGTTGCATTTCCTGTGGGCTCTCTGTTGGGTTCGGTTGGAATTTTGTTGGGTTTCCTGTTGGATTCTCTTGGTTTTCCTGTTGCTTGGTGTTGGGTTTTGATGGATTTTCTGTTGGATTCTATTGACTACTTGTTGGGTTTTCTGTTGGTTTTCATTGCTTTTTTGTTGGTTTATGCTGTTTCTTTGTTGGTTTTTTATTCCTCTCTTGTCAGTGTTTGTGTTGCGCTTTTTTTTTTTTTGTTCTTTTTCTTTTTTCTCTCTCCTTTTGTGTTGCCTTTTTTTTTTTTTTTTTGGTTGCAGTTGGGTTTATTTCAAAGAGCTTTGGATTTCAGAGACAGTTTTATTAGCTTTCCTTTCTGTGGTCTTCATCTGGTTCGGTTTTGGCGAGCGTGAGGAATGGGTGGCTGCCACATGGGCTGCGGGGTGAGGGAGGAGGACGAGGAGATACTCGGGGGAGGGTGTTTAGTTAAAGCCATTGAAGAGAAGTCTCGGTTGTCCCATTCCTCCCCTTGGCACCATGGCAGGAGGTCAACGGGGGTGTAAAGCGAGGTGGTTGTCGGTTATTTTTTGTTGGTTTTCAAAGGAGCCACTAGCAATGAGGAAAGAGATGGGGTGGAGCGGGGAGGGGAGGGGGAAGGAGGCTGGGGCACAGCAGACACTCCTATGTCTTCCCCTGTTTAGTTGTTGTCTGAACCACTGTCCATCCATGGGTCTGGCTGTCCATCCAACAACCCCATGAGTTCTATACAGGGTGGGACAGGGGCTGGCAAAGCATGCTGGGGTTGGGAGGGGAAAGGGAAGGGGAGGGCTCCTCTCCCTTGTTTGCAGTTCTTTCCTTGTGTTCTGTCCATCTTTTTTTTGGCCTTGCTCAGTTGGTAGCACAGTACGGGGCGTGGGTGGCAGGGCAGGCAATAACGGGGGTGGGGGAGGTAGATTGGTGGGGTGCATTGGGCACAGGGGGAGGGACACAGACTAGGGCGGAGGTGTGGCCACAAGAGGGTAGGTCTGAGTGGGGTGGAGTGGAGGCTGGCCAGGGGAAGGTTAGTGTAGGAGGGGACATCCATGACCCAGAAGGCCATGTGGACAGTGACAGAGAGCCCAGGGGATGTAGCTGCGGCTGGATTAAATATGGAAGGGGCGGAAGACTCCAGGGTGGGGGTGGGCATGTGTCACGGGCATGTGAGGAAGCCACATAAGAGTCAGGAGAGCCAACGCAGAGCCCTTCCCTGGCGTGGTTGGTATGGGTGGGGTAAGGGGGCCGGGATACAGAGGGGAGGTGTCCCCCCATGTCTGGGAGCCTCACCTGTGGGTGCCTTTGGGTGCTCTGGGAAAGGGGAAGAGTTGGGGGAGCTGGCAGTGGGCATTATCCCAGGGCAAGGGAGGGCAGGGAGTTCCCAGTTGCCCCCCTCCCCTCTCCAGTGCAGGGGGGGAGGAAGGGGGAGGGGGTCCATCATCCTGTTCATAAAGCTAGAAGTGTGGTCGAGGTAGAGTTCCTTTTCGGGCTGGGGTCCGAGTGAGGTAATTTTGCTTCCTCTTTGGCAAATACCGAGGTGGGCGGTGGTGGGGGGCCAGGGGGGCTTCCCCCAGCCATGCCTGCTTTGCGGCGGTGCGCGCTGGAGCGCAGGTGGGCGCCCAGCGCCTCGCGCCCACTTACCAGCACCTCACATGCCAGGCAGTGGTAGGTGCACACCGAGAGGCGGAGCGGGGCTGGAGCCGGGCGACCCAGGAAGCAGAAGGCCGCCTGGTGGGCGGCGGCTGCCTCCTCACCGTCAAAAGCTGCCTTGCACTGGCGGCAAAGGTACCGGTGGGCCACATCCACCGTAGAGACGCCAGGGGGCTCGGGAGCCGGGAGGAGGCTGGGGGGCAGGAGGCCGATGAGAGTCTGAGGTACGACTGGGTTCACCGGGAAGAGCCCCTTCTTCATGCCGTAAAGCTGCTGGAAGTAGGCGCCAGGCAGCTGGCCACCAAAGAGTGAGGCCGGTGCTGTCCCGCCTGCTGGCACTGGGAATGGGAGGAACTGGGCTCCCAGGAGTGCTGGGACTGCTGGCTTCATTCCCTTGAGGGCTTTGAGAGCCACAGCCGGTGAGGCAGGGTCAGGCCCGGCAGCCCCGGAGACTCCCAGCAGTGGCACCATGGCCACGGGTGCTCCAGGAGTAGGGGCATCTGGGCCAGTCCCAACAGGTGCAATGTTGGGGTGGGTTCCTTCGGCGAGTCCTGCCTTGACTTTGACGTCGGCCTCCCCGGAGGCTGTTGGAGCTGTGTCTGGGGCGGGGGTGAGCTGGGGCTCTTCAGGTGTTAGGTGCTGAGGTAAGGACCGTCCTGGCAGCGTGGAGCCCAGGGGGGCAGCAGAAGAGGACGAGAGGGCAGCCATAGCTGTGGGGGACCCTGCTTGGGGGTGGGGAGAAAAGATGGAGTCAACTCAACGGGTCCATGAGCCTCCCAGCCACCCCACCATAGCGGAGACCCCCTCCCCCCCGCCCAGCAGGGTGGTGGGGGCATGCAGAGGTGGGTGTGAACTGGGGAGACTGAGAGGGAGGGACACGGGAGACAGGAAGTGGCAGGGTGGAGGGGGGCAGGAGGCAGAAAGTGAGTGGAGATGCCTGGGAAATGCTGGGAGGGAAGGGAAAAGCAGGATGGGGAGGACACTGTGTGGTGGGGTGCAGGAGACAGAGGCATGGGGGAGGGACAGGGGTGGGGTGAGAAGGGGGAAGAAGCCAGGAGGGGTGAGAGGACCAGGGAAGCAGGGCTCTGAACCTGCCCCGTGGGCAGTGATGCTCCCTCCAGCTTCCCTATGGGCACTGCCACTTACCAGTCCTTGTTGGGTCACTCACCTGGGGTGAAGGGTGCTGGCGTGGGGGCAGGGGCTGCAGGCCCCTCAAAGCCCTTGCTCTCGCTCTTCAGCTGGGCTGCCACGGCCTCCTTGAGCTGGGCCAAGTGCCCCCGTGAGAAGAGGTGTCCCCGGCAAGACACGTAGAAGTCATATTTGACGTCGCAGACTGTGCAGGCTGCCCGCGGCTCAGCCGGCCCATCAGTGCTGCCCCCCACCTCCCCGGTAGCTGCTTTGGCCTTCTTTTCCTTGGCTCGGGCGTTCTGGAACCAAACCTGGACGACCCTCCTGGGCAAGCCAATCTCGTCCCCCAAGATCTCGCACTCCTGCATGGTGGGTGTGCGGTAGGCCTCATAGCAGGCCTTCATGATCTTCAGCTGCAAACTGGACATCTGGGTCCGGTACCGGCGTTGGCCCAGAGCCTCGGGCCCAGCCCCAGTGCCTCCATCTAGTGCCCGCCCCCGTCCACCTGGCGACTCTGGGTCACCCAAGGATGACAAGGAGGAGGAGGAGGAGGAGTCACTCAGCTCCCCACCGGATGGGCTACAGGCTTCGGGCTCCTCTGGCTCCCCTTTCAATGGTGGTGGAGGGAGCTGGGCTGTGGGGAGGGCCCCCAAGCCAAGACTGGGGGTCCCAGCACTGGGGGTGGGGCTGAACTTCACCGGCGTGGGTTTGATGGCTGGGCTGGTGGCACCTGGGCTACAGCGGAACTGGCCTTTGCGCTCCCGGGCCCGGGTGTTCTGGAACCAGACCTGGACAACACGTTTCTTGAGCCCCACCTCCTCAGAGATGCAGTCCAGCATCTTGCGGGTAGGGTTGGAGTCCTGCAGGTACCAGCGGTAGAGGATCTCTAGCTGCTCAGGCAAGATGGTGGTGCGGAGACGCTTGTCCCGGGGGGACTCCCCTTCCCCACTGCTCCCTGTGCCCGGTGACAGGCTTCCGTCTTCATGCTTCCTCTTGAGGGGCCCACAGGGGCCACGGGAACCATCCCCAAAAGGCAGCAGTGTTGGTGGCGTGGGTAGGGTGGAGCCGTGGGTGCCGGGAAGTGCTGGGGAGTCTTCAACTGCCAGCTCAGGGGCATCATTCCCAGCTGGCCCATCTTCCTTAGTGTCTCCGGTGCCTGGTGGCAGATCCCGCTCATCCTCTTCTTCCTCCTCTTCCTCCTCCTCTCCGAGTGGTGGCTCAGGCTCTTCCTCTGCTTCAGGCTCCTCTTGCTCTTCCTCACCAGCATCTTCCTCATCTTCATTGGTGCCCACTGGGGGCTGGTTGTCATAGCACTTCTTGAGGTGCTTCACCAGCTCGAAGATGCAACGGAAGGCAGCCCCACATTTCTTGCAGCTGGGTTGGCCCCCAGCTCCTGCTCCAGCTCCCACCCCAGCCTCAGCTGCACTCTTGCGAGCCTTCTGCCGGGCGTTCTGGAACCACACCACGATCACCCGGTTGGCCAAGCCCAAGAGGGCTGAGAGACGCTCCACCTCGCCGTCCTTAGGGTAGGCGCTGGACTCAAAGAAGCTCTGCAGGGCCTGGGACTGGAACTCAGTGAATTTAGTGCGGGAGAAGCGGCGGCTAGAGGCAGTCCCACGGGCCGCATCTGCCCCCGCCATAGCCTCTTCTTCTTCTCCCCGCACCCACCGCCCCTCAGCTAGGCCCCATGTTGGAGCCACCTCAGGGCTGGGCCCGGCTGGTGGCACCACCATGGGCTGCATCAGGAAGGGCGGGCAGAGCGGCGGGAAGTCCAAGGGGGTGGCAGTGGCAGGGGGCGGGGCCTCAGTGGGCGCTGGGCCCTCAGCAGGTGGGTACAGACTGTCGTAGCTCTTGCGGAATTGGGCGGCATACCGGCTCAGGGCCTCAAAAGGCAGGAAGCGCCGGTGGACATGCTCCTCATGGGTCTTGAGGATGAGCATGTTGGAGAAGAGCTTCCCACAGGTCCCACACCGCAGCCTCTCAGCTGGCGGCTGCGGTGCTGGGGCTGTCACTGGGGGTGCCACTGCTGCTGCCGGTGGCCCTACCCCTCCTGGCCCCACCCCTGTGCCATGCTTGCCCTCGTTGTATTGGATGACCAGCTCAAAGCCAAAGTTCTCTAGCAAGGCCTTGGCGGCCCCATTGGCATCTTCCCCATTGGCATCTTCCTCAGCTGCTGCTTCCTGCTTGACTGGACCGGGCGCTGGGGGCAGATCCTCCTTGGGGGTGGGGCCCAGCAGCAGGGGCGGGGCTGGAGCTGGCAGGGTGAGGGCAGGAGTGGCAGCCAAGGCTAGCTTGGGTGCCCCCTTGAGGTCGTGAAGGTAGAAGGGCAGGAGGAGCTGCTGCTGCTGCAGTTTAAGGAGGGACTCTGGGACCACAGGGAAAGGCGGCAGCAGGGGGGGTGAGAAGAGGGGCGGGGCAAAGGGCACTGGCACCGCCTCTGCCACCTTGGGGGCTTCTGCCTCGGCTGGCGGCTCCAGGGGCCCCTCGGGCTCTCCCACCTCGGCCCTCCCAGCCGCCTCGGCCTTGGCCACACGGGAGCGGGTCTGGTGGAGCACCGAGCGCATGTGGATCTCCAGTGTGGAGCTCTGGTTGTAGGACACCCGACAGGTGGCGCACTTGTAGGGCTTATCCGATGCTGGCTGGGGGGCACCGGGCGGGCCGGACTCACCTCGAGGCCCCCCAGGAGTGCCAGGCTCCACTGAGGCTTTCTTCATCTTGTGCAGGTGGGACACGGAGTTATAGTGGACCAAGAGGATGTTCTTTTGGGTGAAGGACTCCTTGCACACGGTGCACTTGAAAGGCCGGGCTGGGTCCAGGAACTTGTCCAGGGCGAAGTTGGTGGCTTTGCGGTAGGACAGAGGGTGACGTGGGTCCGAGGTGGCCTCAGGGGCCCGTGGCACCACCACTGGTGCCTCCTCCGTGGGGGTGGGCACCCCAGCAGCTTCCTCCTCACTATCGTCGGGCCTTGGGGGGCTGGGAGAAGCCGGGCGGGGCTGGGAGGGCAAGTCGGCAGCAGGAGAAGGTGGGGATGGGGCAGACAGTGGGGGCGCCGTGGGGGCGGGGTCTCCAGTGGGTGGCACTGCCGGGAGAGAGGATGGCATCAGGACAGGGATGTGGGGGAGTGCTGGGATGGTGGGGGCCCCCTAGGCTGGTGCTAGGGGGCACTGTGCTGTGAGGAATCCCAGCTGTGCTCTACCTCCCAGCTGGCACTGGGGGATGGTGGAGGTCCCAGTCTCTCTCCATCCCCCAGGTAAACACTAGGGGGTGCTGTGCTATGAGGAATCCCAGCTATGCCTGATCCCCCAGTGTGGGACTAGGGGGTGATGGGATGCAGGGGATCCCAGCCACACCCCACCCCACATCCCTGTGCCATCCCCCAAGGGGGTCACTCACCTCCAGGGCTGGGTTCTCCTTCAGGGGCAGCTTGCGGCTCAGGGACGGGCGCTGGGGCAGGCAGGACCTTGGTGGCAAAGGTCGGCTCAACGGCGACAGCCTGTGGGGGAGGAAGAAGAGGCCGTGGGGCAGGGTCGCGACACCCTCCTAGGCCAGTGCCAGGAGGTGCTGTGATGGGCCTCATGGCCCTGCTGGGCAGTGCAGGGCACCAGGCTGGGGGCTCTCACCACCAACAGGAGTCGCTCCATGCACTCGGGCACGACGCTGTGGGTGTGGCCGAGGTGGAGGCGCAGCCCCGGGCGCCCGGGCAGCTGCTCTTGGCACAGTGGGCAGCGGTAGGTGGGCTGCAGCCCATGCTGCTCAGTGGCATGGACCCGCACCACCTCGCTTGCTGCACTCACGAAGCTGCAGAAGGGGCAGCAAAACACCTGGGCAGCAAGGGGGGAGGGGGGGTCAGACCAGCAGGGAGAAACCCAGATGTCTGGGGAGACGGGAGGAACCCAGGAGGCGGGGAGGGGAAGGGAAGGGGACCCAGGAGTCAGAGGTAGGATATGGGGGAGGAAACCAGGGGTCCGGGGCGCGGCAGAGAAAGCGAACCCATGCGTCTGGGGTGGGACCCAGCCCCCCCTGGCTCCTGGAAGTGCCAGGCCAACCCACTCCCCCACTCCCATGGGGGTGGGATCAGCTCAGGTCAGCGCCACCCCCTCCCACCCTTGCCCCACCCCCGACCGGGCGCTCACCGTGCTGGAGGTCTCCCCGCCCGCTGGGCGCTGGGGCTCCGCCTCCTCCACTCCTGGGGGAGGGGGGAGGGGCAATTAGGACCTGAGCCCCGTGCCAGGGCAGCAGGGCTCTGATATAGGGGGCAGGGGAACCTGGGCATCCAGGGGGAGAGGGCACGAGGGCCCCCTCCCTGATTGTGACAGGAGAAAGGACCAGGTGGTGGGACCCTGGCGTCCTGGATGGGGGATGGAGGCGGAGTCACTCACCAGGGGGCGGGGCCTTGCCAGGCACCTCCTTCTCGGTGGGTGGTGGCTCTGAGGTCAGGTCCTTCCCTGGGGGCATGAAGGAGGGAGCTGGGGGGGTGGAGCAGAGACCCCTAGCCCCTGCCCCACAGATGCTCCTCACTCCTGACCCGCAGCCTCCAGGCCAGGGTGGGGGAGGGTCCTGGGACTCCCCCATCCGCAGGCACTCAGGGAGGTGGGAAGGAGGAGGGATAATCTCTCTCTTTTCCCCTGCATTTTTTCACTCCCTTGTTCTCCATGCCGGTTGCCAGGCAACAGGCCCCGGCGCCTGTCATAATCTATTATGAGCAGAGCATTTCCCACAGCCACTTTGCGCTTGAATGTGTCCCACGGCAGTGGTGGGAGGGGGTGGGGAACAGTGCCCCTCACTCCTGACCCACAGCCCCCTGCCCACTCCTGAAGCCCATACCGGTGGGGTGCAGCTGGGCTGGGGCTAGGTGCACATGGGCCTGGAGGCCATCGTCGGGGGGCCGGCGCTGGGCCAAGGCCTGGCGGTGCCGGGGGGAGCGGAGGTGGCGCAGGAGGGCGAGGCGGGAGGGCGCGGAAGCCTCACAGAGCCCGCAGTGGAAGCGCGGGGGGTCAGGGCCCGGTGCTGCGGCCTCCAGCTCCAGCAGGAACTGGCGGGGGGGAAAGGAGGAGGGGGGAGAGATGCTGGCATTAGGCCCTGTCCCTGTCTCCCACCCCCGGTACCTTGCACCCGTGCTTTCCCTCCCCAGGCTCCCTCCCACCTACCCTTGGTTTCTCCTCCCCCAGCCTTCTCCTTGGCTCCACCCTCTCTGGGTAGCCATGCCTCCCCACTGCTGCCCTTGCCTCCATCTTTTCCCCTTGTGCCCATCGTTACCCAGCAGTTGGCCCCATGCTCTTGGGCATTACCCCTTCGGCATGACTCTGCCCAAGGCAACTTGTTCCTGTACAGTCCTGCCCCAGACCACTTGTACCTGGGCTCTCCTGCTGGGCAGCTCCTCCCCTTCCCATGGCCAGCTGCACTCCTGGTCCCTGTCTGGTGAGGCTGCCTCTCCCCTGGCTTCTCCCCTTCTTCCTCCTCTGGGTCCTACCCACTCCCCCTGGCCCTGACCACCTGTTTCTGCCACCTCCCCTTTTTGGCTTCACCCCTGCCCCTGGCTCCTCCTTCTGGCCCTGTTTCTGGGTACCTGGTATCCATCCCTCAACCTCCTCTCACCACCCTCCCTCTATTGTGGCTCCATCCCTCCCCTAGCCCCTTACCCTGTCCCTGGTCCCACACCTGGGCACCTGGTCCCCCTGCCCCCACCTCCAAGACACCTGCTCCTCCTGCCTCACCCTATTCCCTTGTGGCTCTGCCCCCTCCCCTAACTCTTCCCCTTCTCCAGGACCCTGGCCCCACCCCCGGGCACCTGGTACCCGCGCTCGGCCTCCTGGTGCCCGGCCCCGCGCACGTGCAGGCGCATCTTGTCCTTGCCGTTGGTCTCATAGTCGCAGAGGTTGCAGCGCAGGTGCAGTGGTGGTGGGGCCGGGGGCGTGGGGCCGGGGCCAGGGGCCGGGCTGGGGGGGGGCTCCGCCCCGGCCCCGCCCCCCTCGCGTAGGTGGGCGGCCAGCTGGTACCTGGG